AGGCGATGTTTGGAGGACAGCCAAGAGCATCTCCACCCAGAGCATAAGCTTGATTTCTGAACTTGGGGCAGCGAGGCACGGAGCAGCGGAACGAAAAAAGGAGGAAGGCGAGGAGACAAACGAGCAAGCCAGAACGGAACCAATGCGAAGGTGAGAGATTATGAGCCCCGTCGAATGCGATGGTACAAGCCGCTCTACTCGCCGCAACCTGACCAATACATGTAGGCGTTGCCTTCAACTTCTGTGCCCAACTTTAACACACGAAAACGGTTTCCAAACTCAAAACTGGCACATCCGCGATGGCCAAGGTGGCTGATATGCAAAGTGCCGCCCGAGCCGTCGCTGCGCGGCGACAGCAGTTCGACGTGCGCTGGAGCAGACTCCCATTACTTCTGAGCGCGATCATGTTTCTCAACCTCGTGGCGATGGTACCCCCATTCTAGTCGCCAAATCTCTTGTCATTTCTCAGTGCTAGCCAATGAAAGCCTACGTGACCGAGTTCTTGCCGTGGACGTATGTGCCACCACCGGCGCCACTCGCCTCGACCAACTTTACGTTCTTCAACGCGTCGACACTGGAGCTTCTTCAGAGACTATACAACCGGAGTACGCTGCCTCCGCACGTCACATACCATGAAGACGCGGCGGGGTACGTGCTTCGAAAAACGATCAACCCGCGCATCACGAGTCTCGATGCGTGTGCCTCTGAAGTCCTTCCGGGCCTGCCCGGTGCGATTTTCTATGGCCCGTCCTTTTCGCGACTAATTTGTGCGATGGCCATGGCTGACAACGGGACTGCGTGGAACGGCAGTGGGGATTGTATCTACCTGACCTTCTTTACGCAGCCATGGATCTACCAGTGTCTTTGGCTCACGAGCGGCGACGACCTTGCACTCAACGCTTCGGCGCCCGGTTATACGCTCACGTACGCAGCTCGTCCGTATCCACTGGCGTGGTGGTGTCCCACCAAGTTTGCTTACCGAACTCTAACGACATTCTACATTGCGCACCTGGTCTGGACGCGCTACTACGTTCAATGCGTCGCGCTCGCAACGTCACTGGCCGTCACCGGACACCGACCGCTGGATGTCAAAAACTCTGCTTCAATCTGGCGCTACGAGGTTGTGCTGGGGGACCCAACGGCGATGGTGCTGACTGACCCTCTTGTCGCCTTCTTGCTTTGTGTCGACATTGTCGCGAGCTACGACACGCTAACGTTCGCTGTCCTTCGAGCGACCCAGAGCGCCGACGTCTATGTCATGTTGATTGCATTCTTGTACCTTTCATGCACCGTATGTCCAATTCCTACTGTCCAAATAGTCATGACAAAGTTGTCGAAATGAATTTGGTAGGTCTGGCTGCCGTACTTGGCCGTCTCGACGACGACGCTTCTCGTGAAGCGTTACCACAAGGAGCGCTCGTTTGCACAAATTGACCCCACGGCACTAGCGATTGCGACAGCGATTCTCGGCCCGGCGCTCACGTGGTGCATGGGCAACGTCAGCTTTTTCTTGCAGTTCTACCAGTACCTCGGCCGGGTCGCGGTGCCAACGTCGGACCAACATACCAAGTTTGAGTCAGCGCCAGACGTCATTGTGTATTTGGTTTCGCTTGCGTCGCTGCCATTAATGTATGGTTTTGGCCGTGCACGCTGGCAAGGTACGTGATGTGCTACGGATATGTTGAAAGCGTGCTTATAGGGGACGATGTAGGCTCCACCCGCCGGACGCTGCTGCGATATTCTAGCTTTCAGAACAATCCATGGAAGAATCGCGCTCTCTTGGCACTCGTCCAGTGCCTTGAAGGCAGAAGCAAGACATCGGGCGACATGATGGAGCGCGGCGGGTCCGTCTACGCTCTTTTTGAGGCCAATCGGCAGTTTGAGAGATGTCCCGCGATTAGCTTTCGCGCGACCGACTGCTTTGTCTTGTGCCATCAGGACGGTATGCTGAGGGAGCGTTTGCGGCTCACGCTCTTGTCGACGCTCGATCGGCACGAACGGGATGCGTCACTGGCCGTTCCAAGTACCGTTGAACTGTCCGACTACTGCGTCAATACCCTCCATGTCGCTACAAGGATGGAGAACGATATGACTTCCAGCGCAGGTCCTCGCTTGTCACATGCTGTGAGCCTCTCGTCCCAGCCCTCGGCGTGGTGCCTCTAGTCCTGTGCGCAATTTACTACCGTATGACACCTGCCACAATTCCTGCTACGTCCGGCTGCCACGTAAAAACTTCCAAAATTGATACAATGGATCATTCAAATTTGAAAGGAAATGCAAAGTCATGTCATCCTGAGTCATCCTAGTGTTGAAATTGCATGCAAAGAGCGTCGTCATGATGTGCGCTAAAGACACCATACACTCGGCTGTCGGGGTCGTTGCAGGCGCGGGTGAGCGCACAGGGCCGACGGCAGCACGAGGACGTTCACCGAGTACGTGGACGCATCGGGTGCGTCATGGATGGCCACATCTGGCTCGAGAACCAATCGATCCAAGTCGTCGACGAGGCTGAGGCGCAAACGCTCTTCTAAGACGCCATCGCAAAAACAATGGACGTAGCAGTCGGAGCCGCGGAAACTAATCGTGGGCGATCGCTTGTAGCGCGGTGCGAGCTCAAAGAGGCGGTGCATGGTGCCGCCAATGGCCGGTACATTTGCAGGGAGGTGGCGCTGGAGGATATGCAGTGTCGATAGCACCAAGCGGGTTTTGATGTTGTTGAAATGAAAGCTGCTGTACAGATGGAGGTCGCGCGGCGTCGTGCGCGGTCTCCCTGCCAAAACATGACAAAATGCAAGCAAACACAATATACGAGACACGTACGGAGGAGAGCGTGCGTGAAACCAAAGACGACAGGTAGTGATGCGAGCATGAGTGAGTACAGGGTGGACGGAATGCTGCCGTCAAATCGGTCGCGCTTCAGAGCTGTTGGTACCACAAGGTCAAACAAGGCGTGAAACAGCGCGAGAATGAATTCGACATTGCCGACCATCCACGTAACCAGCGGACCATAGATTGTCGCAGCAATGGCCACGAGGGTAGGGTCCACCTCTGCAAAGAGATGTTCTTTCTTGTGGCGCTTCAAGTACGTATTCACGCCGCATAGCGCGGCGTAGGCAAACCAAACCTACCGTGTTTTCCATTCAGCCAAGGGATCGAGCCACGAATAACAGGACATGTAGGTACCGTTCGGGAGAGGTAGAGACAGCCGAGAAGCATGGCAGTTATCTCGTGGGCCTGGCTCGCACGCATGATGGCGACGGCTACAATGTCGACGCTGAGCCAGCAGTCGAGGGCAAAAATCCCTGCAATCGCTGGGTTCAAAAGAATCAAGGCCGTGGGGTCACCCCAAATGACTTCGTAGCGCCAATGTTTGTTGCAGACGCGCTTGTGACCGTGAGATCGCAAAAGCGACTCGAGGTCCAAGCAGTGGCGATAGTACTTTGCATACAGGAGGTACAACGTCACGAGCGAGATACCAACGCGAAAGGCCAGTTTGCACCAGAGCCACGCAGTCGCGGCATATGCTGCAATCGCCATCGAGATGGTGAGCCGATGTGCGTGCGCTACGTCGTCGGCCGTGATCCAGACGCACTGGTGGCCAATGTACAAGCCAAAGTACGTGTTGTACACACACGTGCCCCGGTTCTGCCACGCAAGAAGGTGAAAGCTCGAGGCGTTGGCCGCCGCGAGATCGCAGAGCAGCAATCGAATGGACGTGGTGTAGTAGATGACACCGGGCTTGCCGAGAAGAAAGGCCGAGACGCAGTCATCGCGTGCGATCGCCGCGTGCGTGGCCATATCCAGATCCACGCGCACGAGCTCGACACCGGCCGCGGCGTCGTTGAAGTAGATGCAATTGGGTGGGAGCGTCGAGATGTTGTATTTGGCTTGGTATTGCAACAGTGTCGACGCGTTAAACTCAGTAAAATTGCTGGACGCGGGCGCCTGCGTTTCGCGCATCCACGGCAGGTGCTCCGAGAGGTACGCCTTCATCGGCTAATACAAGTCGTCGAGGCATTAGCGTGCGCCGGCACAGAAATGGACTGGTACCATGAGTGAAATGTTCAAGAGAATACCCATGCTCACGAAAAAGGCAAACGCGTTGCGGTGGACCACATGGCGCGGTGCCCCTGGCAGAAGGGGCCCGACAGCAATCTTGGCCGACGGCATTGTGGACGAGTGTGCTTGAAATAGACCGCAATCAAAATGAAACAGGTGGCGGCTTTCGGACAAACCAAAACTATACGCATGGCGGCGCTCGAAAGATATTGTTTAAAAACATAATTCTACGAGTGTACGAGAACACTTTAAACGGACATTGGTTCTGGCTGGTATACGACGTCATTCATCAATCGACGTTTAACCCTCCCGCGCCGGGAGTCTGATGATCGGACTGTCATGGTTTCATTGTATCATACGTTAAAGTAGTTTAACGCATGGTTTAACGTCGCTACCTTCATCTCTGAATTTCTCAGCCTTGAAACCTCTACCGACCGAACGGCATAGTGTGTTGTGACCTCCAATGTGTTCTCTATCGACAAGCCAAATTGGAGCGAAACTTTTTTCAGGCTCGGTTTGGCGAAGCAAGCGCGCTTGGCGGTGGCGTGGGTGGTCAAGTGCCTGTGAAAATGCATATAATTATGCGTTTTCATAGGTAAAAGAAATCACCGACATGTGTGTTTTGACGCCACATGCATCCAGGGATGTACCCAGTTGTCTGCAATAGCTGTGCTATTTTTATTCAGACAGTAAAAATCTAAAAGCCAGACAATTACAAACACCAGACCGTCGGCGCGGATGGGAGACGGAGTGTCGGCGTAGGCTGCTTTTCCGAAGGCATTTGCAGCTGGTTGAACGCAAAGGGCGATGCGTCTCTAGCGTCCGAAATCGCCACGGCAGGCTCGTGTAAAATGCGGTCGAGGCAGCTCAGAAGCCCAAGTCGCAGCTTTTCCTTGAACGCGTCGCCTTCATAACAATAGACAAAGCAGTCGGTGCTTCGAAAGCTAATCGTCGGGCACAGCTTGTAGCGCGGGTTGATCTCAAAGAGACGGTACATGGTGCCCCCAAAAGAGGCCACGCCGGGGGGCACGCGCCCCTCGAGCACTTGCATGGCCGCAAAAAGCACCCGCGTTCTGATGTTGTTGAACTTGAAGCTGCTGAATGACGTCATATCGCGATGGATGGTCGGCGCCTTGCCTAGGCATCGGCACTTCACCACACATACTCGTGAAAGAGTACGTACGCACAAGCCCCATCCCAAAACCGTAGAGCACAGGCATGATGGCCAAAATCAGCGTGTACAACGTCGACGCCAGACAGCCGTCAAAACGAACGTACACGAGCGCCGATGGCACCGTGAGCTCGAAGAGAAAGTGAAACACCACAAGAGCAAACCCAACGTTGCCGACAGTCCAGGCGACCATGGGACCGTACAAGGTCGCGGCGATCGCGACCAGCGTCGGGTCGACATCGACAAAGGTGTGCTCGGTCTTGAGGCGCTTGAGGCGCTTGTCCGTGAGCGCACAGCGCCGCGTAGGCTAACCAGACCTAGTCTCGTCGTTAAACACAACATTTACTCAAAACACGAGTGTACCGTGCGCGAGAGATAAAGAAAACCCAATAACATAACCGGGATGTCTTCGCTCTGGCTTGCACGCATGATGGCGAGCGTGACGACGTCGACGCTGAGCCAGAAGTCGATGGCGAAGATGGTCGCGATGCTTGGGTCCATAAGGATCATCGCTGTCGGGTCACCCCAAATCACTTCGTAGTGCCACAACGCTTTGGTATCCGGTCGGTGCCCGCGTTCGGCCAAGAGACGTTCGAGCGCGAGTACGTGCCGGTAGTATTTGGTCCACATGAGCCGGAGCGAAATCAATGTCATGACCAAGCGAAACACGAACTTGACCCAAAGCCACGGTATCGACGCGTACGCCCCGGTGGCCGCGGTGATGGTCACCTCGTTTCCCCGCATTGGTATTGGCGTCAGCGCGTTTCCGGCCGTGATCCAGACGCACTGATGGCCAATGTAGAGGCTAAAATAGGTGTTGTAGACACACGTGCCACGGTTGTGCCAGGCCGTGATGTTGACAAACGACGCATTCTGGGCCGCGAGGTCGCAGAGCAAATCGCGGATCGAGTCGGGGTAGTAGAGAACGCCAGGTTTCCCGAGCAGAAATGCGTTCTGGCAGTCGTCCGCCCCCACGGGTGTGTGCGACGCTATATTGAGTACTTCACGCACGAGCTGTACGCTGTGGGCGTTGTCGTTGATGAACGCCGTGCCTGCGGGCAACGTCTGCGCATTGTACGCGGCTTGAAATACCACAAGCGTCGAGGTATTGAACTCGGTAAAGTTGGTCGACGCTGGCACTTGTTGCAGGCGCGTCCACGGCAGATCCTCCGAGAGGTACGCCTTGATGGGCTAGTACAGCGATGACTTTGACATGTGCAAAGGGATTTTACCATGAGCGCAATGTTGAGCAGAATGCCCATGCTAACCCCAAAGGCAAAGCGATTGCGCCGCACCACGTGGCGGGGTTGCGGTGCGTAGCCTGCACCGACAAAGACCTTGATGGGTGGCATCGTACCGTCTCGTTTCAAAAAAGAAAGTACACATGTCCTCCAATTATAGCTAAGACGGCTTAAGCCTTATCCGGATATCGGTTAATCTCTCGTCACTATGAGGCAATGAGGGATTCCTTGCAGCGGTGCCAGGCAAGACAGAGAAATCAAGCAAGACGCGTGGGCTCGAAAGTTGTTGTGAGGGCCTCGGGCAAGTCAAATATTTGATGTTACTGGTACTCTGGTACTAACTAAAGGCTAATCGATCGAACAGAATCGTTGAAAATATGCATCACCTGATGGGACGTCTCGTATTCACACAATGTGGTGGGTGGGTCCACCCCACTGGGTCGACCTTGCCTCAGCATAGTCGCTGCCACGCACGGAGCTTTCAAGATCCTGTGTTGAAACTTTGGTGTCCATTCCAAAGAGGATCGAAAACTAAGTTCAGATAGGACTTATTACGAAACGTCATTCTCTTCAACATTGAGTCAACCAATGTTGACCATGAAATTAAAGACACCACGCACTTGGGGTTAACGGGCAGCGCAAAAGCGGCATTTTCTGCTTCTCACTGGTTGGCAGCTGAATCGTGTGGACTGTATACAGCGACGGCTGGTCGCTCGTCGCGATCACTACGTTTGGTGCGTTCCCATTCCGGTCTAGACCGACGAGAAGGCTCAGGCGAAGGATCTCGACCAGCTTGCCATTGCAGTAGCAGTGCACAAAACAGTCGGGTCCGCGAAAGCGCGTCGTGGGATACTGTTTGTAGCGTGCATTCGAGTCGAAGAGCGCGTAGATCGAGCCGCCGACCGACGGAATGCCCGCCCGGTAGTCGCGGGTCCAGTGGTGCAGCGCAGCAAACACAAGACGCGTCTTGAAGCCGTTGTAGAGAAAGCTGCTATAGCGCGCCGGGTCCACCGTGGGCGGCTGACCTAATACGGTAGTAGTGCGTGAACGACATTTCTTGTACAGTGACGTATTACGACGACGTAGGAGCGGCCGAGTAAAGCCATACATGATCGGCATCGACGCCAGCATGATGGTATACACGAGCGACGACAAGCAGCCCTCAAACTCCTGGCCTTTGGCTGCCAATGGCACGATGGCTTCAAAGAAGAATTGAAAAGTTTGCAGAAGAAACGCGACGTTGCCAGAGGCCCACGACGCAGCCGGGCCATAGCACGTAGCGCCAATCGCGACAAGCGTCAAGTCGACTTCGGCGAACAAATGCTCTTTGTGCGAGCGCTTGAGCACGAACGAGGTGAGGCCCATCGCAGCATACGCAAACCAAACCTAATCACGACGCTTAGCCACAAAACATGTAGCGATCGAGGTGTACGGTCCGCGAGAGGTACAGAAACGCCGTCAACATGACGACAATATCGTCGTTCTGACTGGCGCGAACAATCACGACTGTGACGACGTCGACGCTGAGCCAATAGTCGATGACAAAGGCCAGTGCAATTTCCGGATGCAGCAAGACAAATGCGGTGGGATCCCCCCAGAGCACCTCGTAACTCCAGTCGCCATCGGGCATATTGGTTAAGTGCCCGCGCGTCGCGAACGCATGCTCGAGCGCGTAGCAATGAATGTAGTAGTCGGTCCAGACCACATGTAGAATGCGCAGCGTCACCAGAATCCGAAAGACAAACTTGAACCAGCGCCATGCATACGTCGTGTACATGACCAGAGCGCTCACGACGACAAGCGTGCTTGGTTGGGCCGGGTCAAACTCGAGCCAGACACATTGGTGGCCCAAGTTGATGGTGAAATACATGTCGTAGGCGCACAGACCTTTGTTGTGCCACTGCGCCGGTACCACGCGGTCGGTTGCGCCGAGTGCGCACAGGAGAGTGCGGACAGACGACGTAAAGTAGATCACGCCAGGCATACCGAGAAGAAACGAGCCAACGCAGTCCTCGACAGCGACGGGAACGTGTTGATTGAGGTCCAAAGCGAGCCGCACAACTTGGACATCGCTCGACGCATCGTTAAAGTACGTGCTCGTGTTGGGAAGTCGGTCGAAGGCGTACTCGGCTTGGTATCTCGCAAGAATCGCCGTGTTGAAGCTCGAGTAGTTGGGAAAGACCGGACGCTCAATGAGAGGCCCCCACGGTACGTCTTCCGAGAGGTAGGCTTTCATCGGCTACAACCCACGGCGACTGAGACGAATGGAAGTGAGAGGGATTCGGATACCATGCATAGCACGTTGAGAAGACAGATGAGGCTGACGCTCAGAATGAACGCGTTGCGGCGTACTGGGTACGGCCCTCGCCGAACATCGCCGTTCGCAGGACCCGGAGGCACGGGGCCCGACAAGACCTTGGCCGTGGTCATGCGACCGTTTTCTCAAGCCGGCAAAACGGCGACAGCGAAGAGTCGTAGAAAAGACGTGTCTCGTGTTGATTCCAAAATGAAGTTACTTCGACAGCGAATCGTGTTCGATCGTGCATCCTCTCGTGCTCCGGCGCCTGCTAGCCGGGCACCTATGGACTGGCTCACCAGCAGCAGCTCGTTGACGACTGCACAAAGTTGAAACGCGCTGTTCGAACAAGGCTGCTCGGTGATCCCGGTATTTGGTTGGAACAAACGATCAGGCAAATCAGAAATAGAACGGCCCATGGTGGGCCCGCTGGACAAAAATGCAAGTAAAATCAATGCGGTAACGCGGTATTTGTAGCTAGTCTTCTGGCCTGCGGGTTGGATCTTCCAGTGCGCGGGGCTATGCTGCAACCGTCTATTATGCGTGCACGAGGATTAGGTTGCTGCCTGACTAGAGCGACCTCGACGCTAGCGTCTCCTCCGCAGGTTGGCGAATCTTGCAACACATGCCGCGGTGATGATGCGGTTGCATGTCGTACGCGTTGCGGGCACTGGATCCTGCAAAATAATTTTTTGACGAGACCCGAGTCTTTTTATCCGTCAGCAACTTCATCGCAGCTGCGTTCGCTCGTTTCATGCACCGGGCGTTACAACAGGCAAAATCCCTAAATAAGCAAAAGCATTTGCGTTGTGAGCATGCCTGTCTCTCGTGTCCACGTCGTGCCCGGCCCCTCGAACGCAGCTCCCCCACTCTTTGCCGTCGGCCGCAACTACTTTGCCTTTGGCGTCAGCATCATCATGCTCCTCAACATCGCCAGCATGGTGCCAACTCTTCATCGTCTTCCGTCTCCAAACTCACTGTCGCATGCGGTAGCCCATGAAGGCGTATCTCTCCGAGCACCCGCCGTGGGCAGCACAGCCCCCGCCACCAACGTATGCTAACGACTCGGACTTCAACATAAAGACGCTGGCTCATATGCAAGCGGCGTACAACGCCTCGACGCTACCGGCGACAGCTCACTTTTTCGACGACAGCGCGCACAACACCCAAGTGATGCGCTATGTCCTCATCCTGCTCCACAGTCCCATTCTGGTAAACGATTGCCGCGACCGATTTCTTGTTGGTCTGCCGAGCGTCCTCTTCTACGGCGCTGGCATCCGCAGTGTTCTCTGTGCCTTTGCCGCCGCCAATCACTCGTCGCCCAGTGATGGGACGTGGGACCGCCGCGGTGCGTGCATGTACATTACGTATTTTTCAATGGCCATCGGGCATCAGTGCGTCTGGCTTCGCGCCGGGAACGAGCTCGACGGCAGCAGCACCAGTAGCCATGACACATACACTCTGGTGGCGGCCCATACTGTGTACACGTATTACGCGTTCCACTCGCTCAAGTTTGTCTACCGCATTGGCATCTCACTGCTGACGCTCCACCTCATGTGGACCAATTTCTATGTGCACTGTCGGCAGGTTGAGACGCTACTGCGTCGACGTGGTCACCGAGCCAATCTCTGCGCTCAGAGTCATTGGCGCTATGAAGTGCTCTACGGCGATCCGACCGCGATCATCCTCATGCACCCCGGCGTCGCCACGGCCTTCTTCGTGGACTGTTGGCTCAGCGCCGAGGTTATCTCTCTTGTCATACCCCGCGCGTCGCAAAGTGCCGATGTCGACGTGATGCTCCTCGCGTTCATGTATCTCTCTCGGACCGTACGTACCATGGGTTGCGGCATGAGATATCATTTTTCTGATTTCCATCTGATTCTGCGTAGGTCTGGTTTGCTTACGCTACCGTGTGTTTGACTGCGAGTTATCTCAAGCGACATCACAAGGAGCACCTGTTTTACGAAGTAGACCCGACCATTATCGCGGTGGCGACGACCTTCTATGGTCCTGCTGTCACATGGGCGATGGGCCATATGGGGCCTCTTCTGGCAGCGTACCACTACCTCTTTGAGTTTACCCTTTCGGCGTCGAGAAGAGAGTACGTCGTTGAAGGATCTGTCCCGTCCATGCTCTATTCAATCAGTATTGGGTTCATTCCGCTCGTCTATGGCTTTGTGGGCGCGTTGTGCCGCCGCCACCGTACACCTTGCAACAATCTGTTTCGTCTCAGTGCTTATATAGTTAAAATAGGATCTCGGCGCGTACTCTCGAGCGTCGCGTCCTTGTACGGCAGCTTTCGCTACAACGGTATCAAGACCCAAGCGATGTTCACCGTGCTCCAGTGGATGCACCCTGACAAGAAGATGACGGTTCCGGAGACCGGTGGCACGGTCTATGGCCTCTTTCGTCGAAACGCGCGCTACAAACGGTCGCCAACGATTAGTTTTCGGAGCGCCGACTGCTTTGTCTACTGCTACAAGGACAATGTGCTCGTCGAGCGCATTCGCTTGACCCTACTGGAGAGCCTCGACTGCAATGAATCAACACCAACACTGGCCATTCGGAATACCAAGACCGCCCCGCAGTACTCGTTCAACCAGCTCGTGGATGTGGCACCACCAGCCATCGTACGCGCCCCAAAACCCTCCGAGTGGTGTCTCTAGGCTGTCATTATGGACTCGTCAAACCAACAAATTCTCGTGTTTCTACTGTTGGAGACGGAGCGACTGGCGTCCCCCGGAACACTCTGCAATGTGCAGGCGAATCGACGCGCAAACGTCAATCGTCGACACGGTCCCATGAGTTGAGGTAACTAGTCGGTCATGTTTAAACGGTAAAAATGGAGCCACTGCAGATATTCGATTTCGGAGGTGTAGGGTATTATATTACGAAGGTATGACGTGGCGCGCTCTTGCCAAGCTGGGTTGCACACAGGGAGATCAACCAAGGCAGCGAGAGGCGCACTTACACCGCAACTTATTAGAGGCACCACGGAGAAGGTTGTGGCGAAAGGTGAATGGCATGCGAGACGCCAGGACCATTGCTGCTCTGCTCGACGGTTGACGTTTCCAATGTCGCGACTTCCAGTGTGTTGACGCAGTATAAGGATGGAACGGCGCTGCTTGGAACAGCGAGCAAAGCATCGCCTTTGTGTCGATCGAGCGTCGACAAGAGCGTGAGCCGCAAGCGCTCCCTGAGAATGCCGTCTCGATAGCACAAGACAAAGCAGTCGGTCGCGCGGAAGCTGATGCCGGGGCACCTCTCGTACTGCCGATTGGCTTCAAAAAGGGCGTAGACAGATCCGCCGCGCTCGGCCATCGAGTGCGGGGATCGAAATTGCGGATCAATGCACCCCACAAACGCCAAGAGAGCTCGGTTCTTCCACGGATTGTAGCGAAAGCTGGCGTACGCTGCCGATGGCGTTATCATGGCCCCTACATGCATGCGTCATAGTGACGTAGCAGTAAACTACAGACGTACGGCGCCAGCGTGCGCGACCAAAACCATAAACTAGTGGCAACGACGCGAGCGAGACAAAATAAACGGCGACATCGGGCACAGCTTCAAACTTGGCGTCTTGGTCCGACGTTGGGACCACAGCGCGACCGAGGTACTGGTACAACTGCAAGAGGATAGAGACGTTGCCCATGCACCACGTGAGCGCCGGCCCATACATCGCTGTTTCAATGGCCAGCGCCGTCGGGTCGATTTGAGCAAACGTGTGTTCCTTGTGGTACCGCTTCACGACGAGCGTCGTCGTCGCGACGGCCAAGTACGGCACCCAGACCTACAATATCCATTTTCATTTACTGACCATCTTGACAGTAAAAGCGGGGGACGTACGGTGCGAGAGAGGTACAGAAATGCAATCAACATGACATAAATGTCTGCGCTCTGCGAGGCTCGAAGCACAGCGAACGTCAATGTGTCGTAGCTCGCGCCAATGTCGACACAAAGCAAGAAGGCGACAAGAGGGTCTGTTAGCACCATCGCCGTGGGGTCCCCCAGCACAACCTCATAGCGCCAGAGAGAAGCCGAGTTTTTGACCTCAAACGGTCGGTGTCCCATGACGGCCAATGAAGATGCGAGCGCGGTGCAGTGTACGTAGTAGCGCGTCCAGACAAGTCGCGCGATATACACGGTTGTGATCGCCCGGTAAACAAACTTGGCGGAGCACCATAGTGCCATCGGGTACGGACGGGCTGCGTACGTGAGCGTATACCCGGGCGCCGAAGCGTTGAGTGCAAGGTCGTCGCCGCCCGTGAGCCAAAGACATTGGTAGATCCACGGCTGCGCAAAGAACGTTTGGTCCATACAGCTACCACGGCCGTCCCACGCAGTGCCATTTTCGGTCATGGCCATCGCACAAATTAGTCGCGAAAAGGACGGGCCATAGAAGATCGCGCCGGGCAGGCCCGGAATGACTTCAGAGGCACACGCATCGAGACTCGTGATGCGCGGTTTGATCGTTTTTCGGAGCACGTACCCCGTTGCGTCTTCATGGTATGTCGCATGCAGAGGCAGCGTACTCCGGTTGTATAGTCTTTGAAGAAGCTCCAGTGTCGACGCGTTGAAGAGCGTAAAGTTGGTCGAGGCGAGTGGTGCCGGCGGTGGCATGTACGTCCACGGCAAGAACTCGGTCACGTAAGCTTTCAATGGCTAGAACAATTGTATGAAAGGGTGTTCGCGGCCCAAGTGTGGTGAGTACCATGGCTACGAGGTTGAGTAGCATGATCAGGCTCAGGAGAAAGGGAGCTCGGCTCCAGCACACGGCATACTGCTGTCTCTGCGCAGCGACTGCTAGGATAGCGGCTTGCGTGTCAGCCACCTTGGCCATCGCACATGTGCCAATTTAGATCACTGAAAACCGCCGTGGTTGCTTGGTCGTTGTGGAACGAGCAGAGCCGTTTGGCGCTTTGATCTGAAGACGACTCGACCGCGCACGGAATCCCACTTTTCAAGTTGAAGCATGAACCGGTTCACTTGAGCGGGAACACCAAGTAAGCCAATTGTCCCAAACAAGTTGTCCTTCAACTCGCAGCGATATCGCCCGATGGTTGAGAGGATATAATAGACTGACCACCGTTCATTGCGTTGCGGGATCGAGGGGCTAGCTTGTGAAGAACGTTGGCGACGCCTCATGAACCAGCGCCACGTCAAAGTAGTAGTAGTGTAGCAATCGAGCAGCTCGTCGACGACCGCGAGTGCTTCAACGACGAGCGCCGTAGGGCATATAACATGGTGTTGGCCTGGTGGTGGGCGCGAGCTTTGGCTGCGATCTCGGCGCGCGTCAGCTT